TTTTTTTTTTTTTTTTTTTTTTTTTTTTTTTTTTTTTTTTTTTTGGTCTTCTCAGAGTTGCAAGATACACTTGCTCTGTGGAGATGTGTCCTCACCCTCCTACAGAGTGAAGAGCAAGCCGTACGAGATGCAGCCACAAAAACCGTGACGACAGCACTATCACAGGAAAACACCTGCCAGTCAACAGGTACCTTCTTCTCATCCTTCGCATCATGTTATTGCTCTAGGACCGCGATGGGCAGACCTTTCTATGAATAGCCAGATAGTGAACGTCTTAGGTTTTGTTGGCCAGTCAGTCTCTGTCCCAACTCCATCATTTTAGTGAGAAAGCAGCCATAAATAATAAGTAAAACAGCTGAGCATGGTGATGCCTGACTGTCATCCCAGCTACCCAGGAGACTGAGGCTGGAGGATCCCAAGTTCCAGCGCAGCCTGGGCAACCTAGTAAGACCCTGTCTCAAAATAAAAAATAAAAAGGGCTCTAGATTCAGATCAGTGATGGAGCATCCCTGGGTTCAGTCCCCAGGGCTAAAAATAAAAATGAAAAGAAAGAAAGAAGGAAAAAAAGGGTAAACAAATAGGCTTAGTGTGTTCCAGTAAAACTTTATTTACAAAAATAGAAGTCTTCCCAGATTTGATCTACTGGCCGTAATTTGCTAGCAGACATCCTAGAGAAAAACTGTTTTCAGAAGTAGAAATTTAATAAATAGTGTTTGGTCTTTGTTAATTATATAGTCATCTGTTTTAAATAAGGCTAAGTCTTGATTCTCTCTGTGGTTACATAACCCAAGAATAACAGATCCATCATTTTGTTCCTGCATGAGTGTTTGCCCATGACAGAATCATGACCACGTACAAGTTTGCTTTCTCCTCTTTGTGCCTTGGCTCCGTGTTTAGTAAGGCCATTAACCCAAGAAGCAGGACAGATGGAGAAAGCAGAGCCGGGTCTGAGCTCAGATCCGCAGTCTGAGCCGTCACAGTCCTGGGCTGTGGGGCTGCCTTGTGTGCTGCAGAAGGGAACCTGCCTGAGAGTAGAAAATGGGCTGCAGGAGGAAAGAGACAAGAAACAGTTGGCGTGGCAGCACAGTCACCCCTCTGTCCAGCGGCCATGTGGAGAGGGACAGTGTTGGTGGATGCCCCGTGCCTAGGGATGGGTGTCCAGAGGGGTGTCTAGGTTAGCCAGCCCGGTGAGCGGAAGAACACGGTTCTGAGGCAGGCTCACGAGCTGAGCTACGTTCCCCACAACAGACAGCGCCTGGGAGAGGCAGCGCCGGCCAGCGTTTGTAACTGGCTCAGCCTGCGTGGGGGTGGGGAGTGTTCACTGGAGGGACCCTGGCATGTGGGACCTTCCTGGTGTCTGAGTCCCCAGCCGTAAGGGTCGGTCTGCATTTAAGATGCTGGTTTTGCACAATCTGTAAGTGATTGTGCTCCAGAGCAAGTTTAGCCTCTCCATGGGAAGTCACATGAACAGTGGTACGAAGGATGTGCATGCCATGTTGTGCCCGCCTCAGCCCCTCACCAGACTTCTCCACATCCAAAATTCTGCTCCTGTTGGTGTATTCCTTTTTCTAATTGCTGGTGTTCCTCAGAAGATACTAGAAACTCCCAGCAGGGACTCAGTAGATTTCTCCAAGGCTCTCTCCACCAAAGATGGGAAAGAATTTCACAGTGAGCTCACAGGTGAATTTCTTCCCTTAATCTTTGATATATAGGTTTTACCCTACTACTTTTATTTCTTTCAGAGGTTTTCTAAGTTCATTTACAGTAAAAATGTATTACCATATTCTCCCATCCCTTTTTTTTTTTTTTAAGAAATAGATATCAGTTGGGCATGCTGGCACATGCCTGTAATCCCAGCACTCAGGTGGCTGAGGCAGGAAAATTGCCAGGAGTTCGAGGCCAGAGTGGGTTACATAGTTGAAGGCCAGCCTAAACTACATAGTAAGACCATGTCTCAAAAAAAAGGAAATAGAAATTAATAATTCTAGATTGAGTGCCATTTGCACGTCAAACTGTACATATGAAGCCACTAAAAGAATAAAAAAATGTAAAATCCTGCTTATCTAGTGTTGTATTCCTCATCCTGGTCTTAAAAAAGGAGTTGAGATGTGAAAAGAGAAAAAACTCTGTAACAACTAAATGCAGTTTAGTTGGACTAGATCCAGCATTGGTGGAGGAAGGCCCTACAGGAAGCTATTACAACAACGAGCCACGTTGGAGTGGTGTCTATAGACTGCAATTGATAGGACATTTCCTGAATTTGATAACTGCACTGTGGCTTTGTAAGAGTATATTTTTTATTCTTAGGAAGCGTACACTGAACTATTAAGGAATAAAGACATATAACACCTCCAACTTACTTTCTGTGGTGCAGAAAAAATAACACTATGTGTGCATGGAAGTGTTAAACACAAGGAGAGTTGCTAGCTTGCATCTTTTCTGTATGCATGAAATTATTGATTAAATGTTTTTATAAAATCTATTTTTACTAGAAAAAACCAACACAATAAATACTGATAGACTCTCTGATTGGTTTATCAGTAGATAAGCCCTTGGGGTAATTTCTTTCGCATAAATTATGCTAAAATGTCTTGCCCCCGCCTTTAAGAAAAGCACATTTTGAGCGACTGTATCCTGCAAATCACGTTCAAGCCAAGTCCTCATCTTCTGAAGGCGTCGTGCTCTCTGCTCTGCTCTTGGTGGTGCCGATTTTCATAAGCGTAGAATAAAACATTCGTGCTGTAGACTGAAAGATAGCTGAGGGCTAAAAATCACCCCCTAGTTTCGGCTTTAGTTGCTTTAGCCAGCCCTTGCTCCAGAGCAGTTCTGTCATGTTTTAGCACGTGGCCAGGATGCGAAGCAGCTGCCAGTAACTTCCCGTTCCCTCAGTCTACACAGATTTTATAGAATATGCTGCTGATGGTTTTCCCTTTGGTGTTCAGTCACTTATCCCTGTTGAATCTTAGATGCCATGAAAATGCATGTCATTTATTTTGTCCCCTAAATCCCTAGTTTAATAAATACTACAGTAAAATAATATCATCAAGTTGTATTACTATGTAACGTCTTATTTGAGAAGTCAAATTTACAGTAAAAACACTAAAATAAAAATTCACTGTGGGGTCTCAAGGGAGGGAGTGGAGCTGTCCAGAGGATGCAACAGGTGACACAGAAAGAGGTCAGGGTGAAGGAAAAGCTGGAGCTGGGGGAACCTGGAAGCTGCGGGGACAGCAGTGAGTGGACGTGTGCGATCAGAAGCCAGGGGAGGCTGGGAAGCCAGAGGAGCAGGAAAGAAGCCCAGGAAAGCAGGAGTGACGTTGAGTTCTGGGGCAGCAGCCAGGTCTGGAGGCTGTGGGAAGCTGCAGAGGGTTGTAAATTTAAGAGTGCTGCTACGAGGCATGGTGGGGGAGCTCCCTCCGGGAGCAGGGTGTGATGTGGGCCAGGGCTGGGGTGAGCGAGGGGGATCTTGGGAAGGGTCACCAGCTGGAAGCTATAGCAGCAGTCCTCAGGAGCCATCATCCATGGCGAAGGGACAGAGAAGAGAGGATGGGAGCCTCAGCAGACTTGGGGTGTGCTGCTTCGGGGAGCTGAGAGAAGCAAAACGTGAGATGGCTTCAAGGTGTCACACTGGGAAGCACTCGGGGAAAGGATATTGCTGGGCCCTGGGCACTGCTGGAGAGTTGGGCTGTGGCGTTCCAGGAAATGATAGTACCAGGAAGCAGGGAAGGCACTCAGACCACAAGGCATTGTGATCTGGGACAAAGTATTCTTTAGGCTTTGGGTAGATCAGCAGTGGAAACTGAGAGGGCAAAGGGGGAACTCCATCTGTGGTGGGAACAGAATGAGGTGTCCTGGTTGTGTCCTGCCCGCTCTGGAACACAGCCCCGCCAGCCAGCAGCCCCTCCTTCACAGGACTGCTCAGGGCTGGCACCTGGCTCTCACCCACGGAGAGCGAGCATCGAGGCGCTGGTTCACACGCACCACCCTGGCGTACCGTTTTGCATACAGTTGGCTCGGAGGATGGATTTGTAGGAGGGATTGGTTAATGATTCTAGAAAACCTGGTGAAAATAGCTCCATACTCAAATAACCCTCCTGGGGGTGGGTGTTGTTCACTTCTGTGCCCGCCAGGTTCTCCTGCTGTCCGGCTGCACTAGCTGGGTCACCTGGAAGGTCAGCAGAGACTGCTGGCTGCACACAGGTCTCTGTGCAGCACCTGCCGCTCCCCCCGCGTTTGCAAGTAGGGACTGAAGGGAGGGGGCGGCCCCCTCCCCACACTACTCTGTGCTGGCCGCAGAGCACACAAAGGGGTCAGAGGAAATGACCTTCCTGGGCCTTGACAGTAAGAGAATGAAATCTGCAGCTAGGAGTGTGTACGGGCAGGAGTCCAGGTGAGGTCTCGCCTTTCTCCTCTCTCTCCTTAGATTTGACTGCAGATCTGGAAACACGCAGAAACTAGCTGTAGTTCAAGGGAGACACAGCCTTCTCTACAGCTGTGTTCCGTCTCAGCTGAGTAGCTCCCTCGCTCCTGTGTTATGTGCCGTAGTGGGTTTAATGTCATAGGGCCTTTGAACAGGGGCCTCCACGTGGGCGTCGCACCACCTGGACAGTGTTCCCGTGTGAAGCATCTCCCCTTGCTCGGCCGCACATCTGCTCGTGTGTCATTCCACACAGCCCTTGTATTCCTGCTCTTCTGTCGTTTTCTCTTCCGTGTGCTGTATAGCTTTATCTCTCTAGCCAGAGAGATGTCTTCTATTAGAGAGACACAGCAGTGGGTGTTGAACACTTCGTGTTGATGGCTCAATCTTTCACCCGAGTCAGTCCCTAATTCTGTAAGGAGGTTGGGGTGCCATTTGCAACAAGCGTTCTGGAACACGCAGGCAGAGCCTCCCACTGGAAGCAGCGCAGGGCACCGTTTGCATAGATTACTACAAGCTTATTGCCTGGCTCTCATGGGCTTAGCATTTACAGTCCCATGGTATTTGGACTTTAGTTACTCTTACCTCTGTGGTGTCGGTTTCAGAACTGCAGGGCCAGAAAGCCAACGTGGGGCTTCAGGGGCCATGGCCATGGGTTCACCGGAGACGCCAAACCAGCCTCCTGGGCATGACGCAGTGACCCAGGGAGAGTCTGAAGCCACAGTGAGGCATAGTGGAGAGGGGAAACGTGAGCACAATGTATAGGACGG